TTTTTTCAGTGTACCGTCGGCGTTAACATTACCCAAGATGTACCACGTGGAGATTCCTCGGTCGGATTTACACCTTCGTGTGTGTGTGTACGTGCGTGTATGGGTGGGTGGGTATAGTGTGGGTATAGGTGTGGTTGCGAGTGTGTATCGGTGGAGATGTATGTGAGTATGCGTGTGTGTGTACGCGCGGGCGTGCATGTATGTGTGTGTGTGCATGGATGAATGTATGGATGATTTGGTGGTTAACGATAATAAATTAAGGAACAGATAAGGACTGAAAAACGTCACATCACACACACATACACACGCACACACAGACACACGAAAGAGGTGTAAATCCGACCGAGGAACCTCCGCGTGGTACATCTTGGGTAATGCTAATGCTGACGGTACTGTACTTTCAAATTTCATTACTCAAAAAGTACCTAACAAAAAAATACGTTATTATAGTGTTCCGAAAAGCTCTTGAAATAAGCTACAAAAATATGTAATAAAAAATAGGGAATTCCATTTAAAAAATTCAAGGTGACCTTATTCTGACCTTGGCGGTCCCACCCAAGGTCAAACCAAAAATATCAATAAATAGATTTTTTGAAACCCTATAACTTTTATCTGAAACACTTTTTCCTAAAATGCTTAGTTTTCGAGATATTTCGCCGTCCCGGAACTTTATTAACACTTTGTATATAGGGTGTCTCACACTCTCCTCCGGGTATTTTGTGGAGACCTAGAATGAGTTGATGTGAGCATAAAAGTCCTATATCGTTTTGCGAAATTCGTAATAATAGTCGAGTAATTAATTGTGAAAGATTAAGGAAAAACTCACGCTGATGGATCGTGGGAGGAACGCTCAGCCTCAGCGTAGATCCACTAATATACCGCGCGGGTACCGCCGCGCGATAATTGGAAGAACATCGCGGCCAATGCCCATGCTTATATTGAGATACGTGTCGATATTCAGATCCTGATGTCCTCTTCCTTTTATGCACACGGAGACACTCCGTCTATCTGTGTATGTCTAGCCGCATCGCACCTAGCCTTGCGTCGCGATGGCGGATGACACGCTCGCGATTACGAACTCGTCACACAGATAGAAATTCTATTATATTCCAACGATTGAATACTCTTCCAGTGCCTCTCCTTATATCTTGCGCTCCTACATCTCGCCGCACCACACTAAAGCTTGTGTCGATGGAAAAAGAAGAAAGCAACAGATACCGATAAGATATGCAAAAAATCTAATTGCTTTCTACGTATCATTCACTGTTAGAAAAGTATTCAATTGTTGGAACATAATAGAATTTCTATCTGTGTGACGAGTTCATAATCGCGAACGTGCCATCCGCCATCGCGACGGCCTTAGTTTTCGAAATATTTGGCTGGATAAATTAAAATGGCCCACCCTGTATGTATACACACACACACACACATACACACGCGCGCGCGCGTGCACGCACACGCACACACACAGGGTGTCCCAAACCTCCATGATGACTCTTGGTGAGAACGTAGAACGGATTGAGGTGAGCAAGTCCTATGCCGTTTTACGATATTCGTAATAGTTTTTGAGAAATTAATTATTTTGTCTCAACAAACATATCAACGTTACCTATTCATTTTTTTAAATCGCTTAATTTGACGCACTCTACTGGGTGGAATTAATTCTTTTCACAAACCTTACGATAACCATCGTAAAATATTGATGTTTCCTTGTAAATAAAAAAATAAGAAGGAGAGGTACACGATTTTCTTCCGCGATGTTGTACGACATATGAAAGTTACTTATACATTTTTATTCTGTTACCGTCAGAAGAGAATAAATTCAAAATCTGACTAATGCTCCTTTAAAAAAATATACTTCACTCTTAAAAAAAAAAGAAAAAAATTAAATACCATAATGTTTCGCAGTATTATGCCTATTTAAAATTGCTAAATTTTGACATGAATTTACCTATACGATAATTTTGTTGACGAATGTATTTAGCCAAAGCGTGTTACGCTTTTAGTAAGAAGACGATAGAAAAACACCCATTTTTGGCGTAACCACTTGATGATAGATTATGATGCACGCCTTCTATCGTAATTATACATACAAATCAAATATCGTTCGTACACAATCGAGAACGATAGGTTTCCTTTATACGATAAAGAACTTTGAGTTTCTCCCATCGTTAATACACCACAAATTATGACAGATTTCCAGTGATTTTTTCATGATAAATTCCAACAAAACGATGGGACACGACAAGTCTCTAAGAATCCTATTATAGTAACGATTTAATACCCTCCTAACAGAGCACGATAGAAAACGATTTTATTTCTTGCGGATTTGATACATGCAAAGAATACGATAGAGAACAGTTAGATTCTCTGCAAATCCTTTCGGTTTCTATCGCTTTCTTTCTTTCTCTTTTTGATTAATTATAGGAACACATTACGGTTTTAATGTAAGCTATCTTATAAAATAATCTTCTAAATGTAATCGCGCGCTATCACTTTTCTACCACGACGTTGAGAAAACGAAAGATAATTATCTTTGGACATACGATTTTGTGTTACACGCCGCTCGCTGTGTCACCTCTACATACATGTATGCAACCGAAGCGGCGACACGCTTCGATTTGGCACACGGATATGTCATGCACATGTTCCAGTGTATCACGCCTCGCTATGTCTCGTAGTTATGGGCGCAGGGACGCGGCGAGACGCGATTCGCGAGTGTCACGGTTGCATGTCGGCCGAACACTGTAAAAACAAGTGTGTTACATTAACACATTTTACATGTGTAATCCGTGTAGTCGTTTTTGACACGCTTGCAGGTGTATAAATATGCAACACACAAGAAACCCAGTAAACATGCATGTCTAAAAGATGTCAAAAAGATATCTAAAAGATGTCTTATGCAACAAAATGTTGCATAAGATATCTTTTAAATATCTTTTCGACATCTTTGTTTACTGGAAAGTGTGTAGATTTGCAAGAAACGTGTAGGTATAACACACGAAAAATGTGTTCTATATATACGTATGATACGTATTGTGCTAGTTAAATGCATATATGTGTGCGACTTATGCATATAAAAGATATGTCCTGTAGCTTCTTTGCAAAGTATAGATTCATTAGGAAACTCCCACACTCTTCTCAAATTCTATTGTTAATGAGAATTTTATTAATTGTTTATAGTACATTATTCGTGCCATTTCATGAAATATATATAGATTGTTATAGCGAAAAAGGAAGATAAATGAGTAATCTTTAGTCATTTTACTTTAACTAAATTTTTCATTATCGAAAAAATTTAATGTGAAATGCGCTTGTATAGGCGAATAATTTATGTAATATATGTTAATAAATATTTGAAAGAGTGCGAGAGAGTTTCCTAATGAATCTATACTTTGCAAACAAAGAAACTGCTGGATATATCTTTTATATGCATTAGTTCGTAAATTAATAAACGCGTCAACAAATACAAATAATATTTTATATCATTTATTGTTGTTTTATTATACAACACACATTAAATATAACATAATATAACATTAAATATATATCAATTTCTTTCAAAGATAATTTCTTTTTACATAAACTACTTACATAATAAAAATATGAGAAAATGTAATACTATAATAGGTGGACGCAAATGAAAGCAATTTATATCTCAAACAGAAAGTAAAATACATATACAAAGTATTGAAAACCGTAATTTATTTAGAAATTGTTAGGTAACCATGTTTTATCGCCCACGTTTGTCTATAACAACTATGCTTTTTCCGTACTGTAAGATTATAAAAGACTATAAGATAATAAAAAGTGACAGCACATATTTGCAGAGACAATCGCTGTCTTGGGAGCAATAGTAAATTTAACATTTAATCACAAGATATAAAGTGATAATACTAAATCAAATTAATGTGAAAATAATATTCGTATCTTTCCGAAATAAAAATAAATATTAGCTTTGTGCTCTCAATTTCAAATAAAATTTCTTAGAGTAATGTCGTTGTTAATGTAAATTAATATAATAAAATATAATAAAAAATATAATTAATATAATAAAAGTAAAATCACAGACGTTAAACGAAAATTTAATAATAAATTATTAATGATAATAAAACTAAAATTTTTTAATATTGTGTATATATTAACTTTTCATCTCAATCTATGTATGCGCATGTACATATACACATACATATGCACATATAGAGATAGATATTATTATTAGTATATTATTATTAATATATTATTGATTCTTTGCATCTATACGTATGTATACAGAGTGCTTAAATTGAAGCACTACAATATATCGAGAATGAGATACGATTGAAAAATATTTCAGACATAACCCAGCAAGGTGACGTCTAAAGACGTCATTAAAATGTCATAGACGTCTTAATAACGTCTTAATGACGTCTTTAGACGTCACTTTGCTACCTGGGAAGTTGTATGATCTGTAGGGCGACAAGTAATGGTAAAATTAATTTTTGAAATAATCAATTTTTCAAAGTCACATGATGATCTCTCATTGCTATTTTTTAAAATAAAATTATATGATTTATTTTACATAAAATGATTTCATTAGTTATTAGTCTTGAAAGGGATTACGCAATTTGCAATATGCAATTACATACTTTTTTTTAAAAACAACTATGCGTTTTCTTTATACCAATTGATTCATCTCATTATTTTGTGAATAAAAATATTAATATTTTCACATCAATTTAAAAAATAAGGTACGATTATCTATACGAATTTTTTTGTGAGACCTATTTTTAATCCTATGTCTCATGAAGACTAAAGTATCTCTTGGAGATACTGTAGGAAATAAAGAACTTCCAAGGATTTATAACAACACAAATGTATCTATATTTAACAACACTTTACAAACTCAATAAATTCTATCTTCCCACTATCATATTAATATTAAAAAAAAAAGTAATATTAGTATTTAATAGCACAATATTAATGTTAAAAAAAAAGTAATATTAGTATTTAATAGCACTAAGCATCCGTGCTTGCTCCTTATGTGCCTTTTCAAATCTTACTGTTAGTTTATCTATTCAAGAAGCTTTCTATAATTTCGGTTTATCAATAAATTCTGTTCCATCGACTTTAGTAACACGCATTCTCTATTGTTGGAAGGCTGCTCGCCTCTCTCCAACCGCCGCTACTACCACGTGAGAGAATCCCGTATCTCTCCTAGGAATGCTCTATCGCGCACGCGACTAATGAGGTTACTTCTTTCGCGGTACTTTTTCTTCGCCTACACTACCTCGTCTCACGCCGCTAGTTCAAGGCTCTCTCCTCGAACGTTATGCACTCCTTTATTCTCTCTTTGCTTTCTTCTAACTTTTCTCTTACTTACTCTCACTTCTTTCTCTATCTTCCTACAGACTGCTCCGCTCCCAATACCGCTTATTCCTCTTCTTTCCTTCCAGCAGCGCCGCCTGCTATCTATCTAATATTTTTAACCTCTAACGCTAGATGCCGTTATTTCTTATAATACTTTAGTGCTTCATTTCAAATAAAACATCCTGAAATATATAGATGCAAAGAATCAATAATATATTTCTATATGTGCATATATGTGTGTATACGTATAGGCACATACAGATAGAGATGGAAAGTTAATAGTAATGAAAAAATAAAGGATAATTAAATTTTATCCACAAAGTTATTTTCATACATTACGAGATCACACATCAATACATTACTCAAACCGGGTGCGGTTGTAATCCCTGATGAATTTGTCTATGACTGTATTTTCTTTCATTATTGTTCCCAACACTTCATGATCAATGTATTCCATAGTATTTTTATATGCACTGGGGTAGATTGTATCCCAAACATAGTATGAAGCCAATAAACAAGCTACTTATTTGGAAACAATTGGCTTAACAATTTTCGTTCTAATCTCATCTGCGACTACATAGGCTGTAGCAAGAGCTCCCTCAATTGTGAACATAACGGGAGCGGTGCACTTGGACACGGTGCATTTGGACACAGCCAATCACAGCGCCGTATGATTAGAGACATTTGTAGGGTCCCTTGGAACAGCGACTTGTGATTGGACTGTGTCCAATTGCCCCGTGTCCAACTGATATACACCCGAACGTAACTAGTCGAAGTGAATCGCCTTCCACTGTCACTAAATCTTGCGTGGAAGACATAGCCTGATAAAAAAAGAAAATTTAAATTCTTATTTTTTGAGGAATATAATTTCTATTAATAGATTTAAAAATACATACCTATTTCACAAGAAACAAAGGGTTATATTTCTTAAGTTTCTTGTTTCTCACTCAACATTCGTTGAATCTAAGTATGATTTGGGCTTTACCTAATTCATTCTGCTTAATATCAAAATGCTGTCCTGGGATTTCAATCATAGCATCTACTTTTCTGACTTGTCTTCTACAGTTCCTTCTTCCTCCTTCCATTTTTGCATAGTGCATAACTCAGACAGAACCTGTATAGAAAAAAATATTTTGTAGTTTTCCCTTAACTTACAATTGACTGTTATATTACTAAGAAATGTAAAAAACATTTAAATATTATCAAGGTATTCAATTTGAGATGTGGGTACTTTTGCACCACTTCAGAAATTCTGTTTGCATCATTTTAAATCCACGTCCTTCGTTTACCAAAAGTATCTTTGAGTAAGCGCCGCACATGAGGCGCCCTTACTCTTTTCTAATTCCTTTAAAGCATCCTCTATGTCAGTTTGTACTGGTGTAAATCTGTGATTAAACAATTGATTTCATTAGAAATTTCAACTGTGCAAGTTTTAAGATAATAGATGAGAAATTAAGTTACTTTTTGTCTACGAGTAGAGATTTGCAGGCGTAAATCTAACTGGATTGTGGGAGATATTGAATTTTTTCTTAATATTGGCCTTTTGGTTTCTGATGCATGTACTTAGCTGTGTTTTCACTATAAATAATAAACCATAATAATACAGAAACTACAGAAATATAGTAAACAAATATTGATAATAAAACAATGATTCACAAAATCCTCATCTCTAAAAATATATACTTACACAACCACCTTTGCCACCCTTCAACTCGGGATAGGCAATAATACTCGAAGCGTAATGTAAATACTCTCTTTTGGTAAGCTAATTGTTAGTAATAGTTAATAGATGAGTAGCCCAAAAGTAAATAAATGACTTCTGTCCTTCCAGTACTCCAATTAGTTTTCTCATGTCATCCAGCTTGGCTGTCAGTTGAGAGAGAGGTGCTGGGTTTGGCACTGTGCCTGGACCAAATGACTGTCCGTCTGATGACATCTTTTTGATGTTTTTAATGACTTCAAATCAACAGTATTAGGCTGAAGAACACAAAGCAGCCCATCTGACAAAATTATAATGATGCAGATTAGGGATGCATCAAATAGTGATTTCTGAAAAAATGGAATATCGAATATTCGATGATGTTACATGGCCGAATACCAAATATTTGACGGAGTGATTCTTAAATGAATTGTACAGGTTCATAAAGAGTAGAATGTGAAATGAAAATAAATGATTCTTAAATAAATTGTACAGGTTCGTAAAGAATAGAACATGAAATGAAAATAAAACGTAAATATGAATGATTTTAACAGCATTTATTATTAGTAAAAATTAACATATTGTGTTATCTAAATAAACAATGTTTATGATAGAAAACTAAACAATAAAATAATGTACATTTACCAATAAAATAAATATTCTGAAAAAAACTAAAAATAAAATAAAACTCTTCAACATTGATAAGTTAAAATCAGTCATTGCAATAAAATACAGTTTTTGCATATATTATTTGTACCAGTCACATCACAATATAGAGGATTTATTAGACGTTTAATGAAACCTCCATATTGTAATATGATTGGCACTAACAATGTATTCAAAAACTGCACTTTATCGCAATAACTGATTTCAATTTATTAATGTTGAAGAATTTTATTTTATTTTTAGATTTTTAGGATATTTATTTTATTGGACCAAGTACGTTATTTTATTGTCTAGTTTTCTATTATGGACATTGTTTATTTGGGTAACACAATATGTTTATTTTTTTAAAATAATGAATTCTGTTGAAATCATTCATATTTACTTTTTATTTTCATTTCACGTTCTACTTCTTAAGAATTTCAGCAGTTCAGTTAAAAATTACTATTTGGCTGAATAGTTGCTGATATTCGACCAAACGGAATATTCGGTCAAAAAGGCGAATAATGCTGAATATTCGATGCATCTTTAATGCAAATTACAGATTGCCATTAAGTAGTATCTTACCTGTAAGTCAGCTTCATCTGACGCTAAATTGTCTGCTACATCTGTGTTTTCATCTAACACAATAGGGATGTCATCGAAGTTTAGTTCCACAATACCTACAGCTTCTAAATTCTGTGCACAATCCATACCTACACAGCAGGAATATTCTAAATATATCATAAGGATATCTTGAAGATCCACATATCTTTAGGATATCTCTATGATATATTTTGGACACCTCTGCTGTGTGGGCTTGTACTGCTTGTAGTAGCAGTAGCAACAGATATTTGAAAAGTAAAGTTAAAATCTATCAATAAGACCGTAACATCACTGTCAGTACATATTTCATCATCTTCTTCAATATCGCAGAGCCTACTTTTCTTCGGAATAGCTTTTTGCAGCACAATTTCTTTTCCCTTCATCATTTTATCAAGGATTTTGTCCGAGGCACAGGCCTTGGCCAAAGCTTGGCGTAAACATTCTGCGTCGGATAAATAATCTTGCTTTATAAATTTCAAACACTTGTATCGTTCGCCAATTATACAGAAAATCTTGCGTTCCATGTCACTGTCACTAGAACGGTTATGATACAACACTACAAAGAATCTCTCACACGTATAAACTTGCAACACGGACACAAAAGTCTATTTGGCGGCAGCCGGTTACAGGAGTACTATTCCGTTCTCGCCTTATGGCTCCTGTACACAGGACGCGGTAATGGCTTCTGCATATCAATATGCTGCTTTCCGTAATAACCTTCTAGCTCTTACGGAAAAACAACATATTGACTGGCTGTCGTGCGGACTTCCGCCGCGCGGCAAGCATTACCGCGTCCTGTATGCAGGAGCCAATAGTGTTATCTGTAATTGGTAAAGGATTACAAGCAACAAGTGGTCGAAAACAAATTTCTGCAGAGAAACAATTGCTTATTGCGATTTGGTTTATGGCAACTCCTGATTCGTATAGGTATACTGTATACTTAATTATATGCTTCTTATAAAATTCATGCATAACTAGTAATTGATTAAGTCTTTAATAGCTGTATATACATTATGTGATATACATTATTTCAGATCCATATGTGTAAAATTTAGAGTCGGTAAAGTCACTGCTTTTCGAGCCTTGAGACGAGTTACGTATGCCCTTCATTGTACCGCACCTTGTTTCATTAACTGGCCACAAGGGGATATTGCCATACAAGTCATGGAACAATTTGAAGTATCATGTGGCTTTCCAAATTGGTTGGTGCTATCGATGGAACTCACATAAAAATCCGAGCTCCAGTATAATATGCTGCTTCGTACATCAACCGGAAAGAATTTCCATCCATAAATCTACAAGTTGTATGTGATTCTCGTGGCCTTTTCACACCTACGCAGGGCAAGTAGGTTCTGTACACGATGCAAGAGTTTTCAAGAATTCTCCAGTGGCACGTTTTGTGAATATGCCAGATATTTATTTTCCAAATAACTCGCATATTATTGGTGATGGTGCTTATGGTATTCATCCTCATGTGATGGTACCATTTAGAAACAATGGGCATCTTTCACTCAGGCAACAAAATTTCAATTATTGTCTTTCGAGCACCAGAATGGCAATAGAACGAACTATTGGGTCACTGAAAGTACGATTTAGAATTTTATTGGATTGTCTGCCTTTAACAGATATAAAGAAAATTCCACAATTCATCATTGCGTGTTGTGTTCTACATAATATATGCATTTTGAAAAATGACACAATACCAGTTGTAATATGCAGAGCAAATGATGAAATCGGACCAATTAATTGTGGTAATATAGCTATAATGGGAAATGAAAAAAGAATAGCAATTATGAACACTTTACCAATCAATATTATAAATTGAATAAAATATATTGAAAATAAATTATATATATATATATATATATATATATATATATATATATATATATATATA